AGATTGTTGTTACAATACCATACAAGCCTCTCACGGAGCACCGTGGATAAGAGTTTACTTTAATTAAATAGTCATTTTATAAAATGTGGACATTAAAACGTCTGGAAGTTGAGATTTTTGTATGTGGTTTGTTGCGAAGACGCCTATCTAAAACTTTTTACCTTGATTGGTATTCCCTGGTCGGCTTAAACGAGCATTATAGAACTTATAAATTACTAACTGTAATTGTACCCTGAGTTACGCTCAAGTTGAAAGCAGCCTTGTACTATCAGCTCCTGTAACCATTAGCTGGCTGTGGAATCTACCAGCACATCTTGCCCATCCAGAAAGTCCCCAATGACAGAGAGTCCACTTCCCATTAATTTGTACAGGTGAGCCTCGCCCTAGATTTTGACCTACTTAGGTCAAACTAACCCTAACCATTATAACTATATGGAGGGCGGACTTTCTGTCACACGGACCCCAGAACTCAAGGGAATTTGTTCTTAATTGGAGACTGCAGTTCTCTATAGAATGTTTTGCCTTCCCATGCGCTATATTTGGTCACAGCGACAAAATCTGCAGTATTCCCACAAATTCTCACAGTCTGTTCAAAAGTTAAATGGCCTTGATTTATCAAAATATGTTAAAATTTCGTTTGGTTTGCAGATAACAATAAACACCATAGATTTATTTCTGCATTTTAAAGTTTATTTTTAGTTTAAATACCACACATAACTGTCGGCAGAACATTAATGCATAGAGTTGGTCATAAATTTGATTGTCAGACCATAGATTTTGTATCTGGACGACATCAGTCTAAAAAGACTGACGGTCAAGCAAGAAACGGATGAACAATTTTCTCTTTTTTATTTAGAAAACTGCAGGGTACATTGCTTTTTTTCACATCTATTAGTTTACTTTCACATACTTGAAAAGTTTGGGAAAAACATCGGTTTATAAATTGAATTAATCGCGTTTTGATTAAGGGGTGCAGGTGCTTATGAATAAAATCATGTCTTTTTAATTCTAATTCGAAGTTGTTTTTCAGATGTAAGGCCGACATTACACCCACTTACGTAATTAAGATCGTGTATAAATTGATGTTATCTTGGGTAATCCATCAGAAGACATTGTTGATTCAAGCAAAAAGTGGACGAGGACACTCCGCTGAGGTAAGGGGCAAGTTTTCAGGTTAAAACTTTGATACACATTTTTTTCCTTTTTCTAAACCATCATTTGTACAGGTATTGTTGTTTTTACATAAACAAAAACATTAATCTGTGTTCATGGCTTCATTTTGGTTATTGTAGATTATAGGTGAGTATCGTTAGAGAACAACGGAGAAATACCAGTAAAATGTTAGTGTGAGGGATTGAAAGGTTAGGGAATTTCGAAAAAGTGCTTTGTCGTATATGATTTGCGGCGAATGGTGTTTCAGCACCATGAGTGAATTTCATATAAGGCGATATAAAAAAGCATGTCAAAATCCTTAGTCTTCTTGTCCTGACAAAATAAGTTGCCTCCGAGTTTTGGCTTCTTAATTTGCTCCCAAAATATCTGAGTACGTCCCTTGTAATTAAGGGAGTAAATAAGGACACCTATCATCTCGCCTTGTATTGTTCCTTGGTCGGTCACTGCTAGACATTTTTATTGGAATGGCACCTCTCTGAAATCTTTTTCCTAATAGCTTAACAAAACGGAAAGTATCGAACGGTGATTCGGTTTATACACTCACGCCTTTCACCACTAGAGGTACGATTAAGATTTTCACAGCTTCATTAATTTGCAAGCTCACGTCACGTAGTCACACTGCACGTATCACTGTCAATACCTATAGGTATGGTCACATGTGAGTCCGAAACAACCTTTTTACATTGTTCTTGAGCAATTCTATATAATATATACAAAGTTCAATACACAGTGAACTTTGTGTGTGGTACATGTAGACTCCCTGTTCAAAAATAAACTTTGCGCTGCATTTCATTCTACTTTTTTGTTATCGTAGTTATCATTATTATTAGTAGCAAATTCTTTAATAAAAATTAATTAATTAATTAAAATCAGTATCGTGCCATGCACGCCGTATACTCTTAAGAAAGGATTCCTTTACCTTTATCCAATTATGTGTAATAGCGCACGGTGAAGCAGCATTACTATTGTTTTAAAGTAATTTTTAAAATATAAAGATAGAAAGGTGTATACAGTCATAAGTTTATCATTGGTTGTGATGTTGTTTATCCAAATCATGCAACTGTTGATTGGTGTACTGTCTCATTTGGATGTTTCTGTGGCTTCGGCGGGGACGTAAAATGCACAGAAGCAATTAAATAACCTATTTTTATTTCTTTTTTACTTTACTTTAAAGGATGGTAACATGTTTGTAATTTAGATTTAGTAAGACCTCATAAAAGTACATTTGTTGTGTTTCAATGACATTCATGCATAAAATGATGTCTTTGAAATTCAGATCACGTGTTCCCATTGGTTAAAATTTCATAAATGTATGCAAACGGCGTTTTTGTTGGTAACTATATATAATGATGAGATATATGAGTTAAATAGGTTGTTTTCTTAGTGTTGATGGGTATGGGTAATAAGACATGATGTTCCTGAACAGACAAGAGTAGCATTGGGGGGATATTTTATCACAATTTGTTTTAAAAAAATCAAGGCAACTGGAGTCAAGTGTTGTATTCTAATAGCATTACCAGGCCTTTGGAGTCATCCATTTTTATCATCATTTTCACAAGTCTACAGAGAGTAGACTTTTTCCAGACTTCCCTTCCTTCAGACAGTACAAGGTCAAAAGAATGATGATCTTTGACAGGAATTTGGATCATAATTTCTATTATATTTCTAAAGCGTACAAAGGGCAACGCCCCCCCCCCCCCCCAGCTTAGGGTTGTATGTAATATGTAGATTATAGGTAAGAATTATTTCATGAAATAGGTGTGAGAGATAACTGTTATGGTAAATGGCCTTCTAGTGTAAAATATTGTTACATCTTTCAGGTATAACATGAATTTGATGCCCTTTGTGTTTTCGTGTTTTCTGACTTTACATTCTATCCAAGGTAAGAGGCAGCGTTTTGTTAACATATGTCACCTCTTCATACATCATAATACACGTGTACCATGCCAGTTAATTAGTTTAATCTTTGAGATATTATCCAGAATATACACTTTAATAACCGAACTGTATTTCTGCTCGAACTTGAAATAATACAACATATCATTATTTGTTCGAGAAGGCAAGAAAAGGTTGTCTGCACATGTATACTTATATAAGTTTTAGGAACTAGATATTATTAAACACTGTTAAATTGTTGTAGGCGCAAGGAACAGACATAAATTGCATTTTGTTGAGACTTTAGTCTGAATAATGTACGTCACTCAATATATATTACTGAAGTTACTGAATTTATCTGTGACTGTTCACTGTCTTTATTTCCCAAGGACATTATTGGACCGGTTGGTATGACCGAGACGATCCTTCTGGTTATGAGGATAATGAACATATTACAGAACAAAAGGTAAGAAAAAACTTCACTTCTAGCTTCTACGTCGTTTGATTAGAGGAAAGGCTAAAATAAATGAATGAATGTAATTCGGTTGGTTGAGATGATGCTTCTCTGATAACACTGTTCGGAAAATGTAAAATAATATCATTGTATTAGAATGCAAGAATGGGAAAGAGAAGAAGAGAGCGAGCGTTTGTAAAGAGAAAAGTGGAAAGCCTCGACATTTAGGGTGGTCAATAAAAAAGATAAAAGTAAAATTTATTTGCCACTTTCATTTAGAAACTAGGTTACATCTGTGGCGGATGTAAACCCATCGCGGCGGAGTGTCGCGTAAAGGGGTCAACCAGTACGTTCACTCGCTGGTCTGGAACTGCTCCAGATATATTGGAGGTCCATTGTTTACCAACACAAGGTCTGCTGTGTCGCAACTCCCAGCAAGCCGACGGGTCCTGCGCAGACTATGAGATAAGATACTTGTGCCCAAGTACAAGTAAGTTCTGTGGGCATTGTGGTAGGTGTGACCTTCTTTGTGCATTACCACAACGAGAAATTTCACCCTATTTGAAACTTCTTGTTTTTCAAGGACGCCTTGAACTACTGCACGTTTTCTTTCTTGATCTTTTTTTCTTCTTTTTTTTTGTTTGTATTACAGGGACGACGGATTTGTTGTCTCGACATCATATATTTTTTTCATAATATTTTTTCTTCGTTCTTTTATCCAGGTGGTACGTGGACAAACTACCAAGATAGGGATGATCCAAGCGGTACCGGAGACTGGGAGAATGTTGAGACTTTCAGGGTGAGGATCACCACGTGATGATCACGTGCTATTTTTGCTACTGTCACCTGTCTGCTTAAGTGTTTGCCTTTAGTTAAGTAACAATCTTTATTTAATATTACGGAAAAAATGAAGAAGGCTTTATACGAGACCAGCTTAACACGCTCAGGGTACATGCGCATGCATATACAGTGTTTTTGTCGATTTTTATTCGATAGGACCAAAAGGCAATTGGTTAAAAGGTACCCGGAACCTTTGTGTGGAAATTCAGTAGGCCTGTTAGGCATCTGCACAAACGTCTAACTTTTTTGATGGCAATTGCTATTGAACCTTCATTTCAATGAACCTCTAAATACAGTAAATACTGGTCAATTATTTGCAGTGAATTAGTGCCGAAGAAATGCGATCTCACGTTAGTAACTTCGCACAGGATGTCAGACCTTGATCAATTCCGTTATTAAAACATTCTTGCCATTCTTCGAATTTTTTCGTTTGATGTCTGTATATATAGTTTTTTTTTAAATATTCATTATAGTTCTCATATTTCAGTCGACTGACAACGTCAACCTTTGCAATGGTGCTCGCCCATTGTGCACCCGGTGTCGCGACAGAGTGACCCACTACCATTATTATGCAACTGGAGACCAATACAATACCGACCACGACTGCAACTGGGAGAATGGCTTGGTCTGTACTACATCAGTCAACGGGAGGACCTGCAAGGACTACGAGGTGAATTTTAAATGTCCAAACATAGGTAAGTCGTCGAAAGAAGCCAGGAGAAGTGCATCAGCAAACCATGCATCGCATATCCATGCCATCTTTCTCGTGTCCACGAGGCCCTCCATATCTGCGCATTTGCTCCTTCACATTGTCGTGGAGAAATTTCCCTGTGGACGAAATTGATGTGTGTGTATGGTGTGTGTAGGTGGGTGTGTGTGCGCACGCGCTCGCGCATGTGTGACTGTTGAGTGGTGGGGTAGTGTTTTGAAGGGTGTAGTGTGCTAAAGAAAAAATCATACACATAAACAGACATAAAACTTCACTCTACACACATTCATAACAAAAGTAAGTGGCCGCTTTGCTTCTAAAACATCTAAAATCCCCGTAGCTTAGAATTAGTTAATTTGTGTATTTGAGCTGATAGTCAGCCTTGTTTTCGTGCTCTGTACTTTACCTCAGCCTTTATAAATGGGTGAAGTTGTCTGTTTTTTTCTTTGTATTTTCTCTGTCACACAAAATGCGCATGGATGTATGTTTTGTTGAAATGGGATTATATATATATATTACTTTGAAATATATATCTTACACAGGCACGTGTCTTGCTTGCGCGAAGTGGACTCCCTGGATGGACAGAGATGACCCCAGCGGTGACCGCGACGCTGAGCACGTGGGGCCAACTGGCTTTAATCCTGTAGGTACATTAATTGGTACATAAACTATAATCCTAGCTTACACGTTGTTCTCACTTAATTCAATGAGTGCATTCCCACAGATTTAGATCGATCCAACTGGATCGACCTAACTCCCTGGGGGTTCACGCTAAATTGCTGTCAGCCGAGCGCGCACGGAAGTTAATTACCCCCTTACAGCTTTTAGTAGGCGGGACAGACATTTAAGCCGGCCAAGCTGACAGTAATCTAGTGAGACTCCCCACGGGGATAGATCGATCTAAAATCTGTGGGAATGCAGTCACTGTTATGATGATACATTATAATGGTTGTTGCAGCCTTCATATCTTACATTTATTACACAACATGTTTAACCCTTTTATACGGTGGCACATATTCGACAAATTCAAAGCACTGCAGCAGAATCAGTGGAAGTGAGATATAAAGTTGTTTTTAGGGCGTGTCCATATAGGAACATTACGTGTTATAACAAGTTTCAAAATGTTGATAACACTTTCTTCGCCTCCCTCTTTAATTGAGGATCTTGGTACATGCATAGCTAACACCAATGTACTTTAAAGGAACTACTTACCCGATCTGACAGGAATGGTAGTCCGATAGGAACGGTAGTCTGTTCCCCACTTTGTACAGCTGATATCCGTCCCATATACTTACCCCAATACTCCGTTCTAACCCTAACTTGTACTAGCCATATTGGACCCGGACTTCCATTCTCGGGCCTACCATTTCTGTCACGTCGGTATTACCTGTATGTTATTCCATGGCCAGTCCTGTCCTTTGTACGGCCATAAAACTTTTCTTACGTCTTACGCATTAACATTGTTATTGAGATACGAGATAGAAAAAAAAAACTAATTTGTTGTGGTCATCATTATATACCTATACGATTTTTTTCAAAGCTTCACATGTAGTATTATTATTATTAACTAAAGGAATATAAGTGCTTGTGTACTTGTCTTCTGATAATATTGGATGCCACCTATTATTGCCATCGAGGCCTGTTGGCGACTGCGCGCCTCTTTTTCATATTATTAGAGTTGTGAGAAATGGATGATGAATAGAAAATTTCTTTGGACTAAAGCAGTTGCATAACGTTTAATTAATATACGAGTAAAGGGCAGAGAAATGCTATTGTGGGCCTTGACACAGATGGTAACAAACACGTCTCCTTTAATTTTTCAAGTGCTCTGGACATGAACCAATTGACATCCAGTGCCGCACGAGGGGAAATAATGTGCCGTGGGAACTGACTGGTCAGGTGATCAAAGTGAAGTGCACGCCCTCTGAAGGGTTCGTCTGCGAGAACCGTGACCAGCCGAGTGGACAAAATTGCTTCGATTACGAAGTCCGTTTCCTGTGTCCGTAATTTGGCTCACTAATACAGTATGTACTCACTGAGGAAAATGACAAGCGATATCCTGGTGAATGACACACAATGCAACCTGAATTTAGTATCTGAGAAACGCTTACAGAATTGCTTTATTACATGTACCGAAAACTTTCTGTTGACTTGCTATGCATTGATTTAAAATTTAGGTTCTTTACGATTTTTAAAACTGACGCATTTAAATAAAGTACCATTTAAGGACAATAAATTGTGCTTCTTTGCATCGAAGCAGCAGTTCATCGCTTATTGATAGAAATGATGTAAAAAAAAAAAAAAACGGCTATGGCGTATACTACATATATACTCACTACCTCTAGCAGCGGGCGGTTGGATGATGTTGTTATTATTATTGTTGTTCAAAATCCCTCGCCAGCAGAACAGAAAAATCCACAGCCAGTGAATATCCAAATCTTGGTGGGTCTGGTAGAATATATTTATATCAATGAAAGACAATATTATAATGCCGAAAATGCAGCAGTTTATACAAGTTCAAACGATAACACGTATCAGCCCTTTCCACAGCTCACCAACTTAACAAGGGGCATTTGACTGGAATGAGATATCGAGTCCAATTTAAGAAATATCATTTTGCCACAGGGATTTAATTTTCACCGAAAACATTGAATCGTACCAATGAATGGGTTAACTTTTGGAAAAAATGGGAGGTTTTGGTTTAGTTAACTAGTGTTACATGATCTTAGCTATTTAGCATAAGACAAAGTGGTACATTCAACCAGACTCACAAGCTTGAAGACTTTTACCTTTGGAAACAAATTGTTTGTCAAAATATAGAATCTTATCACTTAACGCGTTTTAGTGGTAAAATTCATATTTGTGAAATAACAATGTTTTGGGGCTTCAACTCATTTTTTTCTACCAGTAAGGAAAGTTTGATAAATCAACTTCATCATTCAAAAGGTATGGAGGCCTTATTTACTGTTGGCAGCTAAAACAGTATGTTGTATACAAGAACGACACCCCATAACTACACTTGACTGCAGATAATATTCCAATAAAGTTTCCTGGCGATGCTCACATCTGACAATCGGCCATTGAATAAAACCCTAGAAAGTTTTCAGAGCAGACTTGAAAGTTAAAATAAGATAATGATGAGAGTTTCAATAAACAATAAAGACCGCGCCTTTCTATCCAATATCTAATTGTGTTTATTTTTATTTTTTTTATTTTATGAAATAACAATGTTTTGGGGCTTCAACTTTCTATCCAATATCTAATTGCGTTTTTTTTAAATTTTTATTTATTTATTTATATTTTTTACGCCCCGGAAGTACTACTAACACAGTATACCACATTGCTCCCTTAGCCTCTCCCTTCCCATTTTACCCTTTCCCAAACAAGAAAAACAATATACATGTATAATCTCCTGCCAAAATAAGTGTCACCCCTAATGCAATGCGTGGAATTAAACACAATTATATAAAGGTTTGGCAAAGATATCAGCTTATAAATAAAACTAATCGCGTTCTGATGAAGGGTTGCAGGTACTTATGGAAAAGATCATGTCTTTTTAATTCAAATTATCCCCAGGTGTTTTTCAGTTGTAAGGCCGACATTACACCCACTTACGTAATTAAGATCGTGTAAAAAATTGATGTTATCTTGGGTAATCCATCAGAAGACGACGTTGTTAATTCAAGCAAAAAGTGGACGAGGACACTCCGCTGAGGTAAGGGGCAAGTTTTCAGGTTAAAACTTTGATACGCATTTTTTTCCTTTTTCTAAACCATCATTTGTACAGGTATTGTTGTTTTTACATAAACAAAAACATTAATCAGTTTTCATGGCTTCATTTTAGTTTTTGTAGATTATAGGTAAGCATCGTTGGAGAACAACGGAGAAATACCAGTAAAATGTTAGTGTGAGGGATGAAAAGTGCTTTATCTTTTATGACTTGCGGTGAATGGTGTCTCAGCACCATGAGTGAATTTCATAACATGTCAAAATCTTTAGTCTTCTTGTCCTGACAAAATAAGTGTTCCCAGGTTTTGGCTTGTTAATTTGTTCCCAAAATCTACATCCCCTGTAATTAAGGGAGTAAAACAGGACACCTATAACCTCACCTTGTTTTGTTCCTTGGTCGGTCACTGCGAGACATTTTCATTGGAATGACACCTCTCTGAAATCTTTTTCCGAACAGTTTAAGAAAACGGAAAGTATCGAACGGTGATTCGGCTTATACACTCGCCTTTCACCACTGGAGGTACGATTTCAGGGGCGGATCTTCTGGGTCTTCCGGAAAACGGTCAGATTTTCAAGTTTATAATGATGGGTATGTAATTTTTTTTTCTGTCGGAAGACGGTCAAAAATGGAGGATGGATCGATAAAGATAATTCGAAACCTGTCAGAAAATATCTTTCGATCCGCCCCTGGATTTCACACCTTCATTAATGTGTAAGCTCACGTCACGTAGTCACACTGCACGTATCACTGTCAATACCTATAGGTATGGTCACATGTGAGTCAGAAACAACCTTTTTACATTGTTCTTGAGCAATTCTATATAATATATACAAAGTTCAATACACAGTGAACATTGTATGTGGTAGACCCCCTGTTCAAAAATAAACTTTGCGCTGCATTATACTTTTTTGTAACCATAGTTATCATTATTATTAGTAGCAAATTCTTTAATAAAAATAATTAATTAATTAATTAAACTGAGTATCGTACCATGCACGCGGTATACTCTTGAAAACGGGTTCGTCTACCTATATCCAATGATGTGTAAGAGCGCACGGCGAAGCAGCCTTACTATTGTTTTAAAGTAATTTTTTAAAAATATAATTATAGACAGGTGTATACAGTCATAAGTTAAGTTTATCATTGGTTGTGATGTTGTTTATCCAAAACATGCAACTGTTGATTGGTGTACCGTCGCATTTGGATGTTTCTGTGGCTTCGGCGGGGACGTAAAATGCACAGAAGCAATTAAATAACCCGGTTTTATTTCTTTTTTTTACTTTACTTTAAATGATGGTAATATGTTTGTAATCTAGGTTAGGATAAGACCTCATAAATAGACATTTGTTGTGTTTCAATGACATTCAAGCTTAATACGATGTCTTTGAAATTCAGATCACGTGTCCCCAATGGTTAAAACTTCATAAATGTATGCAAACGGCGTTTTTGTTGGTAACAAATGGTGAGACATAAGAGTTAATTAGGTTGTTTTCTATAAGGTTGTTAGTGTTGATGGGTAAGGAAAGTGAAATAAGACATTATTCTGCACATACAAGAGTAGCATTGCAGAGATATATGTGTTCACACTTTGTTTTTAAAAAAAAAAAACTTAAGATAACTGGAGTCAAGTTTTGTAGTTTACTAACATTACATTACAGGCCTTCGGGGGTCATCCATTTTTATCACAATTTTCACAAGTCTACAAAGAGTAGACTTTTTCCAGACTTCCCTTCCTTCAGACAGTACAAGGTCAAAAGAATGATGATCTTTGACAGCAATTTGGATCATAATTTCTATTATATTTCTAAAGCGTACAAAGGGCAACGCCCCCCCCCCAGATTAGGGTTGTATGTTATGTAGATTATAGGTAAGAATTATGTCATGAAATAGGTGTGAGAGATAACTGTCATGGAAAATGGTCTTCTACACTAAGACATTGTTTCATCTTTCAGGTATAACATGAATTTGATGCCCTTTGTGTTTTCGTGTTTTCTGACTTTACATTCTATCCAAGGTAAGAGGCAGCGTTTTGCTGACATATCTCACGTCTTCATACATCATATACACGTATACCATGCCAGTTTAGTTAAATCTTTGGGATATTATCCATAATATATATTTTTATCACCGAACTGTATTTCTGCTCGAATTTGAAATAATAAAACATATCATCATTCGTTCGAGAAGGAAAGAAAAAGTTGTCTGCACTTGTATACTTCTATATTAGGAACTACATATTATTTAATGCTGTTACATTGTTGTAGGCGCAAGGAACAGACGTAAATTGCATTTTGTTTAGACGTTAGTCTGAATAATGTACGTCACTCAATATCTTGCTGAAGTTACTGAAGTGAACTGTGACTGCTAATTGTCTTTATTTCCCAAGGACATTACTGGACCGGTTGGTATGACCGAGACAATCCCTCAGGTTATGGGGATCATGAACATATTACAGAGCAAAAGGTGAGAAAAATCTTCACTTCTGGCTGCTAAGTCTTTTGATTAGAGGAAAGGCTAAAATAAATAGATGAATGTAACTCGGTTGGTTGAAATTATGCTACTGAGATTTCACTGGAGTTCGGAAAAAAGTGATAAATAATATCATTATAAGAATGCAAGAATGGAGAGGCAAAGAGAAAAGTGGAGAAACTCGACATTTAGGGTGATCAATTAAAAAGAAAAAGTTAAATTCATCTATCACTTTCATTTAGAAACTAGGTTACATCTGTGGTGGATGTAAACCCATCGGAGCAGAGTGTCGCGCAAAGGGGTCAACCAGAACGTTCACGCGATGGTCCGGAACAGCTCCAGATAGACTGGAGGTCCACTGTTTACCAACACAAGGTTTGGTGTGTCGCAACTCCCAGCAAGCCGACGGATACTGCGCAGACTATGAGATACGATACTTGTGCCCAAGTACAAGTAAGTTTTGTGGGGATTGGTGTAAGTGTGACTTTCTCTGTGAAATGCTACGAATGATTTCACCTCTTTGAAACTTATGTTTTATTAAAAGGACACCTTGATGTACTGCGCCATTATCTTTTCTTAATCTCTTTTTTGTATTGTAGGAAGGATATGTTGTCTGGTCATCATATTTTTTCGTTATATATTTTTCTCGTTCTTTTTTTCCAGGTGGTACGTGGACAAACTACCTAGATAGGGATAACCCAAGCGGTACCGGTGACTGGGAGAACGTTAAGGCTTTCAGGGTGAGGATCACCACGTGATGATCACGTTCTATTTTTTCTACTGTCACCTGTCTTCTAACATGTTTGAATTTAGTTCATTCATACTCTTTATTTAATTTTACGGGAAAAATGAATACAGGTTTTATATACACGTTCAAGATAAATGCGCATACATACACAGTGTGTTTGCCAATTTTGATTCCGTAGGTCAAACGGTGACATGTTAAAATGTACCCGGTACACTCCTCTGGAAATTCAGTAGGCCTGAAAGAAATATGGATGCTCTCAGCAAACGTTCTAACATTTTGATGACAATTGCTATTGAACCTTCAGATCAATGAGCCTCTAAATGCATACTGGTCAATTACTTGCAGTTAATTAGTACAGAAGAAATGCGATCTCACGTTCAGATTATATATATACTGACTGTGAACATCACGTTAGTAACTTTGCATATATATATATATATATATATATATATATATATATATATATATATATATATATATTCATTATAGTTCTCATTTTTCAGGTTGATGACGGTGTCAATCTATGCAATGGTGGTCGCCCAATGTGTGCCCGGTGTCGCGATAGAGACACCCGCTACCATTACTATGCAACTGGAGACACGTACAATACCGACCACGACTGTAGCTGGGAGAATGGCTTGGTCTGTACCAGAGACGTCAACGGGAAATACTGCAAGGACTACGAAGTGAAGTTTAAATGCCCAGACGTAGGTAAGTAGTCAAAAGAGGCCAGGAGAAGTGTATCAGCAATTCATGCTTTGGAGTTCCATATCAACTTTCTCGTGTCCATGAGGCCTTTCATATGTACGTGTTTGCTCTTTCACTATGTCGTGGAGAAATTTCCTTTGTGTCCGCGTGAGTGCGCGCGCAAGCAAACGTCTGTTTGTGTTACTGTTGGGTGGGGTAATGTTTTGGGGGGTTTATGTGCCAGAGAAAAAAACGTACACATAAACAGATACATAACCTCACTTTACACGCTGTCATTCATACCGAAGGCAAATGGCCGCTATGCTGCAAAATTTCTTACAGTTAGTTAACTTTGTATGTTTGAGCGTGTAGTCAGTCTTGTTCCTGCGCTCTGTACGTAATTGTAGCCTTTATGAATGGGTGAATATGTCCTTTTGTGTTTTGCTTTTCATTTTTTTCTGTAACACTAAATGTGCATGTTATAATTAGTATGTATGCATGTATGTATCTTTTTTGTTGAAGTTCTGTGTATTACTTTAAAATCTATATCTCACAGGCACGTGTCCTGCATGCGCAAAGTGGACTCCCTGGATGGACAGAGACAACCCCAGCGGTAACGGAGATGCTGAGCACGTGGGGCCAACAGGCTTTAATCCGGTAAGTTAAAGAATTGGTAAATATACATTATAATCCTGGGTTACACGTTGTTTTCAGTTAGTTCTATGTTATGATAATACGTAATAAAGGTTTTTGCAGCCTTCATTCTTTGTATTTATTATACAATAACATGTTTAACCCTTCATACAGTGGCAAATTTACTACAATTTTATAGCACTACAATGAAGTCAGTGGAAGTGAGATACATTAGGGCGTGTCCATATGGGAACATACGTTTCGTTTTGTTTCAAAGCTTTATATTGGATGCTACCTATTATTGCCATCAAGGCCTGTTGGTGACTGATGCACCCCTTTTTCATTTTATTAAAGTTGAGAAAAATGGGTGATGGCTAGGGATTTTTTTTTGGGCTAAAGTTGTTGCATACCGTTCAACGAATATACAAGAAAAGGGCAGAAAAATGCTATTGTGGGTCTTGACTCAGATGGTAGCGAACACGTCTTCTTTATTTTTTTCAAGTGCTCCGGCCATGAACCAATTGATATCCAGTGCCGCGTGAGGGGAACCAATCAGCCGTGGGATCAGACGGGTCAGGTGATCAAAGTGAAGTGCACGCCCTCTGAAGGGTTCGTCTGCGAGAACCGCGACCAGCCGAGTGGACAATATTGTAAAGATTACGAAGTCCGTTTTCTGTGTCCGTAACTTGTCTCACTCATATGTTTTCACTGAGCATCTTGAAGACGGGGGAAACCCAAACGACAAGCCCATTTCCTGGTGAATGACACACATTGCAATCTGAAAATAGTATATCTGAAAAATGTTAACAGAATTGCTTTATCAAATGTACGTAAAACTTTTTGCTGACTATTGCTATGCATTGATTTAAAATTTCGGTTCTTCGCCATTTTGTAAGGTGACGCATTTAACAAAAGTACCATTTAAGGACAATACAGGTAAATTGTACTGCTTTGCATTGAAGCATTAGTTCATCGCTTATATATTTATGCTTCGATCATAAGGGAGTTTGTTCTAAATAGAAATAAAGAGTCTGCAGGTTTTGCCTTCCCTTGCCCGATATTTGGTCACATCGTCAAAATCTGCAGAATTCTGGAAATTCTTGCACGCTATTCAAAAGTTCAGTGACGGTGATTTGTCGAACATGTCGATTTATTTTTCGTTTGCAAATAACAATGACATCATATAGTTCTTTTTAGTTTTTTAAATACCACGTATAACTGACAATAGAACGGTTTTATCTGCCAAAGATATTTCGAAAACATATATATGCTGCAAGAGTTGGTCATTTGCATGGCAGACCAAAGGTTTTGTCCCTGGACGACATCAAGTTAAACAGGCTGACGGTCAAGCAAGAATGGATAGACGATTTTGCTTTTTATTGAAAACTGGACCCCAGCAGGGAACGTTGCTTTTTCCACAGCTATTAAATAAACATTTTCAACCTACTTTAAAAGTTTGGCAACGACATCAGCTTATAAATTAAATTAATTGCGTTATGATGAAGGGTTGCAGGTACTTATGAATTAGATCATGTCTTTCTAATTCAAATTAACCCGAGGTGGTTTTCAGTTGTAAGGACGATATGACACCCTTTTACGCAATTAAGAACGTGTATAATTTGATGTTATCCAGAAAACGCTGTTAATTCAAGCAAAAACTCGACGTGGGCACGCCGCAGAGGTAACGGGCAAGTGTTCCAATTTATAACTATCTTAAGCATTTTCCTTTTTCTTAACCGGCATTTGTACAGGTATTGTTGTTTGTAGATCAACAAAATATTTATCAGTTTCCATAACTTTATTGTAGTTATTGCCGATTGCAGGTAAGCATGAAGGTAGGCAGAACAACGTCAGTGTGAGATGTGAAAATGCTTTGTCTTGTATGACTGAATGGCGTACATGTACTATGAGTGTTATATCCACAAACGTGTACATGTATGGTGTTGTATGGACTTCCTGAATGCTGTGGACTGTTTCTGTTCAAACTGGTTATCTTGCACACTACAAACAAAGCAACCTTAATTTGAAATGACCAATCAAGAATGCAAATTTTGTTCTCCATGTTGTCATTAGTCAAAACCAGCTATCCAATGCCATGGAAGACAATGCATTATCATGCCACACTCGTAACACTATAAGGGCTCATTCTCATTGAAATTATTGGTCTCCTTAGATCGATCCAACTTCGTGTGGACTCTCACTGAATGCAACCAGTTTAACCGATTAGCACGTCTCCTCCTGTTTCCAACGCACTCATACTATCACTTCTTATTATTATATTATTATCAGTGATAGTAATAATAGTAGTAGTAGCAGAGATAGTAGTACTAGTAGTAGTAAATTTTAATTAAAATTAATCAAAGCAGTGCCCTGTTTTCCTTTATATAACTACCCAGGCTTTTATATCTATGTACACACTGGTGTGTTAGAATGAAGACAGTGCAGTAGCCTTAACTCTCATTAAAATCATTTTTTAAAATAGGTATCAAAAGGTCTATAAAGAAAAAAAAAAGCAATTTGGCTTTTGTTGTCCTATATTTAAAACATGCAACTGTGAATTGTTTTACATTAAATTTTGTTATTAGGAAACGCATAAAAAACAATTAAAAAAATTGCCAGCACAAGTTTATTTCTTTTTTATGTCAAAAAGATGGTTACATATTTGTAATTTAGGTTTAGATAAGACCTCATAAATAGTCTTTTGTTGTGTTCCAATGGGATTCGTGAGTAAATGATATATTTGAAAGTCAGATTCCGTGTTCACCCACCAAAAATAGAAGCAAGTTTTGTTATTTCCTAACTGCCCAGGCCTGTGTGAACAGGGTTCCGTACGTTAGGGGTTATTTCCTTAGAGGCCATCCTTCTTATCATTTTTTTACAAAGAGTGGAATTTTTGCAGATCCATCCCCTTTCAGAGACCACAAGGTGAAAATTGAAGAATGATAATTAACCTATGACAGCAGTTTGGATCATAATTTTTATTATTTTCCAATAGCGTACAAAGTGAATTCGACCCGTCCACCCACCCCCTCCCTCCGTACGGTTATATAAAATATAGATAATACGTTAGAAAAAAGTCATTGAATAAGTGTGAGGGATAACTGTCATGTTATATATGGTCAAATATTGTTTCATCTTTCAGGTATAACATGAATTTGATGCTCTTTGTGTTTTCGTGTTTTCTGACTTTAAAGTCTATCCAAGGTAAGAGTCATCGTATTACTGACATATCTCACCTCTATATACATCAAATACACGTATACCATGCACCAAGTATACCATACGAGTTACAGAATGATGTAGGAAACAAAATGAACATACCTTGTATATGTGGTAGTTATAAGGAATTTTCCGTTTTATACCTCTGAATATATAGCATACTTTTGAATACCACTGAAGAAATTCTCCATTATTATACCTTTCACTGTTACAAATTAAGTCAACAAGTCCTGGCCTCCACTCCAAGAGTGCCTCTAAAATAAATCATAAAAAGCTAAACCGCTTTACATATCATAGTGTTGTCAACGGTTTTGGATACGACACTCCTAGATGACTATGAAAACCATATTGACACTTTCAGGAAAATCGGTGCAAGGGCAGATCCAGAATTTATGAAAGTGGGGGAGGGATCCGCGGATGCATAGCCTCCCCCCTATGATTCAGCTATTAAAAATTCTAATATCAAGAGGGGACCAGAAATCTAAGGGAGGGGGGTGAGGACCCTCCTGAAGAAGATTTCTGTTGTTTAAATTCAGCATATACTCTTTTCTCAATAAACTGTAATTTACTCGAACTTGCAATAGGAACATGTCATTTTACGTACGGGAAGAAATAAAATAGTGGTTTGAACATTTATACTTGTATAATTAGGAAGCAGAAATAATTTTAATCTTAAAATACCGCCAAATTTTTGAAGGCGCAAAGAATAGACATATATTGCAATTTGTCCCTCAATATATCTAACTGTAGATACAGACTTGACATTATGGAATATTTCAGTTTCGAAGGTGTGCCTAGGTAGAAATGCGTTCTTTTTTCAAAATACTAATACCTCATATAAGATATGTGAATGGAGAAGTGTGTAGTCAGGTGTGTCGCTTCCAATTAACTGAATACCAGGTTTGTTACGCTGCTGCATTATGTAATATGAAGTGATTTAATTGGGTAGTGCTCCTTTGGGCAGGTCAAACCTTGGCTTTGACAAAGCACGGTCCTGTCAAAAAAGTATCCATATGTCGGCAACTACTGCATAGAAGAATTTGAAATTTTGCATGCAAGTGGTCGGTTTTGCAGTGTGTAAAATGAGCAATGCAGAGCTTAGCAAGTTTGTTAATCTGTGGCAAAATGGCGCGAAAAAGACAGACATTGCCAGACAGTTAATTGCGCCAAACGAAACGGTCCGCACAGTTTTATAGAGTAATGCCCAGACTGATGTACCTACATAGAGGCCACTCCCAATGTATTAAAATCTTACCACCAGAGTACAGGACCCACTGTCTTTCAGGATATGCCGTTGCAACTAAACAAAAACCACCCAGTCCGTTCAGAATGAGGGGTAAATTGCCACCAAAACGCATTTTTCAAGGCCCTTAGCGAACACCAAACTGGTTTTTGCAGGTTAGAATACCAGACGACCTCCGAGGAACCCACTGTAAACAGCAAAACATCGTTGTATGTTTCTCTAATGAATTAGGGACCATGACCGTTTCTGGGTTGAACACTGAAACCTCGTGGCTTTCTTTAGTGAGGTCAGATTTCACCTGTACCGCTCAACTAGTCAAAACAGAGTTTACAGACATCCAGAAGAGGCCAACGACGAAGTGTGTGCCGCCTCTAAAGTGACTTAGGTCATTAACAGCGTCAGTATTTGAAGTGGATACCACATTGGTGCCAAAACACCAATGGCAGTCATCGACGAAAACCTGAACCAGATTAAATAAAGGAATAATCTGGGAACCACTTGACTATCATTTGATAGGGGGCACCTTAAGAACAATTTTAGGTTGTAGGGTGGGATTGCCGGTTCACACAGAGCACTTTTAATAACAGATTACTTAGAGAACCAAGGGAATGAACAGCTACCTTGGTCATCAAAACCGCCATATCTGAACCACGTAGACAATATGTGGGTAGACCATTACTCGCCAAATGAATGGCCTACATGTCCTACAACAAAACTGGGCCAAATTGAACAGATTTCGACCGATGCCTGGAATGTTATTCCAGATTGAACTCTAAAAACATATCCCAAGGAATGCCTTGCCGCTTGAGAGCGCTGGTAGCAGCCAGAAGAGGTCAGGCGTAACAGCGACTGTTACTGTGACTAGACACTGATATGAGGGTCCTTTGTGGAGCGTGTAACTCTTTTACAGACAATAATTTGGAAAATATGGAGATCTAAAATAGCTCATTTAATGGTTGCCGTATGAAGTAGAAAAGGCAATGTGTTTTTGTTTGCTTCTCTGGCGAATTCCATTAATGAACTGATGTCACAATGACATCAAAGAGATAATTAAAAGTTATTAGAACACGATTTTAATCCTTATTTTCATTTATCAGTCAGTAAAATAGGAAAAAAAATGATGAAAAATGATTTGGAAAAAATATTCCATATTAAATGTCAAGTCTGTAAATGTGACTGTTAACTGTCTCTGTTTCCTCAGGACATTATTGGACCGCTTGGTATGATCGAGACAATCCTTCTGATGACGAAGATCATGAACATATTACAGAACAAAAGGTGAGAAAAACTTCATTTCTTACCGGTAAGCAGTTTGATTTCAGGAAAGGCTAAAATATATGTTTGAATGTAACTTTGTTGGTTATGATCATACTTCTATCAATACAATGGAATTCGAAAAATGTGAAACAGTATATATCAAAATGAGACTGCACGAATAAAAATGAGAGGTAGAGAGCGAGCGTTCACAAGAGGTAATGCCAATATAGAGTGGTCAAAAATTCAAATTCATCTACCACTTTCATTTAGAAACTAGATTACGTCTGTTGCGGATGTAAACCCATCGCGGCGGAGTGTCGCGTGAAGGGGTCAACCAGTACGTTCACTCGCTGGTCCGGAACAGCTCCAGATATATTGGAGGTCCATTGTTTACCAACTAAAGGTTTGGTGTGCCGCAACTCTCAGCAAGCCGACGGAAACTGCGCAGACTATGAGATAAGATACTTATGCCCAAGTACAAGTAAGTGTTATGAAGTTTGTAGTAGCTAGGTGTGACCTTCATTACTACGAGAAATTTCACTCGTTTTGAAACTTCTGCTTTTTCAACAAAGCCTTGAACTACAGCGCCATTAAATTTTCTTAACCTCCTTTTTATCGCAGGGACGACGAATTTTGTTAAATGGACATTTGTCATAACATTTTTCTTCATTCTTCAATGCAGGTGGCACATGGACAAACTACTTAGATAGGGATAATCCAAGCGGTAGCGGTGACTGGGAGAACGCTGAGGCTTTCAGGGTGAGAATCACGTGCTTTTTTATCACCTGTCTCTGTGCTTGGCTTCGGTTCATTCACAAACTTAATCTAGACTTGTGAATATTCTTTTGTCTGTAAATAATTATATTTGTCTGGTCTTACCAGCCAAAATTTCGTCTGCTTGCATTCAGACTTCATCAGGGAATGAGGTTGTGGTAGCTGTGACAATCTATCACTCCCTCTGGTGTGCTATTTGGTCAGATTCCCTCGTCCCTATTGTTTCGGTGAAAATTGCAGGGATTTCTGTAGAACTGGTCTACCACTAAGTCAACTTTCTTGCCTAGATGTCAATGAATCTGTTTCTGTCTCTTTTTTTTTGTTTGATGTCTGTAAATATAGGTGAAAATATTCATTAAGTTTGATTCTCATATAACAGGTTAATGACAGTGTCAATCTATGCATTGGTGGTCGCCCAATGTGTGCCCGTTGTCGTGACATAGACACCCACTACCATTATTATGCAACAGGAGACAGGTATAATACCGACCACGACTGTAGCTGGGAGAATGGCTTGGTCTGTACTAGCGACGTCAACGGGAAGACCTGCAAGGACTACGAGGTGAATTTTAAATGTCCAAACATAGGTAAGTCGTGTGACACTTTCGTAAGTGACAAGAAGTGCATCAGCAAACCATGCATTGCAGATCCATGTCATCTTTCTCTTGTCCATGACCCCCCGTATCTACGTACTTGCTCATTCACAATGCCGTGGAGAAATTTCCCTTTTATATGTGTGTATGTATGTATATCTTACAGGCACGTGTCCTGCATGCGCTAAATGGACTCCCTGGATGGACAGAGACAACCCCAGCGGTAACGGAGACGCTGAGCACGTGGGACCAACGGGCTTTAATCCGGTAGGTACAGGAATTGGTAATTAAATTTTAATTCTAGCTAACACGTACTCTTCTATTAATTCCAAGTTATGATGTCATATGTTTATGGTCTTTTGACTTCATATGTCTTACATTTATTATACAATAACATGTTCAACCCATTTATACAGTGGCATATTTCCGACTGTTTCAAATACCTATGAGCAATGGAATCAGTGAATGTATCTGAAAACAATGGGACTTGTTTTTAGGACGTCCTCATGGTAACATTAGGTGTTATAACAAGTTTTAAAATGTTGATAGCACTTTCATTGCCTCCTTTTTCAACTGAGGATCTTGGCACATGTCCTTGTTTACTGTAGATGCGTCACTGTATTTAAAAGGAACTTTCTGAGCCGATGTGTCTGTGTACTTATCACATGGACTTCCATGCCCACCATTACTGCATACATAGGCATCATCTGTATACTATTCCAGACCTGTCTATTGTGCGCTCGTACGTTTTTTCAAAATTTTTTTATTGTTTCAAAGCAGCACAATAGACATTGTTAGCTAAAGGAATTTAAGTTCTTGTGTCCTTGACTTCTGATGATAATGGGCGCGACCTATTATTGCCATCAATGCCTCTTAGTTGCTAATGTGAAACAATGGGTAAGGGCTAGAGAATTTTTGGTCTAAATTTCTCGCATAACGTGCAATGAATATACGAGTAATTGGCAAAAACTGTTTTGGAGTACTAGACTCAGATGGCAACATAACGGGTATTTTTCATTTTTTCAAGTGCTCCGGCCATGAACCAATTGATATCCAGTGTCGCGTGACAGGAACCAATCAGCCGTGGGATCAGACGGGTCAGGTGATCAAAGTGAAGTGCACGTCCTCTGAAGGGTTCGTCTGCGAGAACAGCGACCAGCCAAGTGGAGAATTTTGCAAAGATTACGAAGTCCGTTTTCTGTGTCCGTAACTTATGTCACTCGTTTGTTTTCACTGAAGACGGGGGGAAGACGGTGGGGAAACCCAAATGACAAGCCATTTCCTGGTGAATGACACACATTGCAATCTGAAAATAGTAAGACGGTNTATAGCAGACACGCTGAAAAAATGTTGGCCTACACAACAGCCGCACTGTCCCGTCCACGAATCCGACGCAATTTTTCAGAGGCGCCCCTTTGTTGTGAATTGCATCTGCAAATTCTTGAAATCTGTTGCTTACCCATGCAATGTCAGTTATTTTATGATTAAAATTGTCATATATGAAGTTTAGCACTGCTGTAATAGTCATTGAGATGACAGATTTGTGGCGCTTAAAGAAGTGCTCCAGCGAAATTAGATGATTGGGATAGGCCAGTCTGGCGAGGAAGATGCAGAAGGCTGTTATTCTGTCTACAACTGAACGATTTGGAAGGACAAAATTCTCCGGAAACCCCATGGCATTGACTATTCTGTATATGTCTTGCTTATGGAAGCGAAAATATGCTCTGCACTGATCACTAGTTAAATCATCAATAGTAAACGCATTTTCTCTAGTATATGTCGTATACGTAGATTTAGATTCTTCACATAAAAACGGTAAAATGTCATCACAATCAGCATCAAAAAGAAGCGCCTGTACCACCAAATCAATAATGGAAGCCATCTTGTCACACAAGCGATCTCTATTGTTTTCGTATTCGTTGTTCGGCGTTTGCGAAACGGCCGCTACGACTAATGACGTACGAACCTAGTTTTGGTACTTCGTCTTCGTTGTTCGTCGTTTGCTAAACCTCCCTATTGACTTTGAGTGTAAGAAGAAAGAGGCATCTACAACGGCCCCTAAGTCTCACCCAACCATAGAAAATTCTTGCAGCAATTGCGAAACAAAGCACAACCGTAGCAAGAGAGAACTGTGCCCTGCATATGGCTCAACATGTTTTGCTTGTGGCAAATTCAACCACTGGATGAAGTGTTGTCGCTCAGAGCACAAACATTCTACCAAGCAACAGGGAAACATGCAGGTCCAACTTACACACAACCACTCTTAGGCAAAAGATGCATAGAGTGCATGCCTGTAGTGAAGGGGACTACAACCCAGAAGAAAAAAATGTGCTGTATTTTAGCCAAATCAACATGGGCAACATTGAAAGCAAACATGCTTTTATTAACCTTAAAATCAGCTCTGCACAGAACTGTATGACTTTTCCATGCAAAGTGGATACTGGCGCAGATGAGAACTTGATCACAAAGGAAAATTATGCCAAACTGTGATTAAAGCAATTTAAAACCATCTGACATCAAAATCACTGCCATGGAGGGCAAGGTTCTCGTTCTGCACCGCACAGGACTGCTAGGAGGTGAGGATGACGCACTGTTCTCCCTCTTGATGCACCTGCAGTGCATCCCAGTGGGTTGTAATCAGTTCATACACCTGCACCTTTTCCAGGGATCTCTGGGTGTCTTGCAGCAGTGGATCCAAGCATATACCCGAACACCTATTTTGGGGTAAAGTCCCGCACAGACTCTTCCTGATAGAAGAGTGGCAGTGGCACAGCTGGATAAGAGCAGGGTCTTGCTAGAGACCCACTCTCCACGCTTCCCGTGCAAGCCCAACAAGCATGGGACCCCAGCAGACTTGAGGTGGACAGGGGCGGTGATAGCACCCATCTGGGGTTGCACCTGGCAGGAGTTGCTGGCTATCACAGCCAGGAATGCCAGATGCCTCTATGTGGACAGGCTCCTGCCCGAGTCCATGGGGCAGTAGAGGTGTGCAATGCCACAATTTCACATTGTAGTAAATCAGCAAAGATGAATAGAAATCTGATATCTAATATAATACGTAAAGGTATCGACACAGCAAAGATTAAAAAATGAACAACTTACAAATTCAGGGGAGAGGTAACAGCATTTTACGTCAATAGTAGAATGCAGCCCGGGAAAAGGACTCCATCAAAACAAATGCGGGGGAGACCCAAACAAGAATCGTTACAGACTACATTTCTGTTTCCGCCAACCTGAACACGTTGTTGTGCTATTCGAATGTCAGAGAATATAACCTCACATGGTGGCAGTGGTGGGATGGACAAATACGGAAAAGACTAGTAGCTGGACTGACTTACATCTTTTTGGTGTCATAGAGAGATTTCGATTGTATGAGATAGCCATGGTAGCAGATATAGAGCAAATGTTTATGCAAGTTCCTGTACCGCCAGCAGACGCCGACTCCTTGAGATTGCTGTATAGTGAAGATAGCAACCCTGACTCTTTTGAAGTGATGACTATTTTGGGGCAACAGACTCCCCAGCCTGTGTTAATTATGCACTCAAGCAAACAGCCCAGGACCAGCTGAGTTATACAGTGAGGAAGCTGTAAACACTGTGTTTAATGATTTCTACATGGACGATTTGTTGAAGTCAGTAGACAGTGCACCACAAGCAATCGAATTATCCAAGCTGTAATGTCTTGTCTAGTGGCGACACTAGTGGCAAGGGCTCTTTAGGAAATAAAGGATAGTAAGATGGCAGTCCACATGGTCTTGAGTGATGAGTATAAAGATAGTAATCTATAACCCACGCAGAGTGCACATGGTTTGCAAACAAGCACAAGACATAACATGGTGTCAGAAGCGGTCTCAAGACAAAAGTAAATCTGCAGTAATAGAGACATAATGGCAACTGGATTTTCACCTCCAATGTTCAGGGCACGTGATGCCGCCGCGCAAAATGTCACGTGGAAGGAATATAAGGAGGAACTGATAATTTATTTCCTTGCTGCTGGGTTGGAAGACGCAGAGGACAAATGAAAGGTGGCAATTTTAATATACGGCCTAGATAACAAACACAAAAGGTGTTTGAGACATTTACCTTCGACAATGAAGAAGATAAAGATGACTTTCAAATCGTATTAAAGTTTGACAGGCATTTTGAACCGCAAAAACTGGTAAAGTTATATATGAAAAAATTTGATACATGCTATCAGAATGAAGGAGAGAGTCTGTCAGATTACGTATCAAGACTGAGAGAAATTGCTAGGTACTGTGAATATGGAGAAACACTAGAAAACCAGTTGTGCAAGCAGATATCTGTGGGAGTGAAATCTAAAGAACTCAGAGATAAATTGTGGAATGAAGACTTAACATTAGAGCAAATAATGACAAAATGATATCTCCACGAACAAAAGAATCCAAAACTATATTAGGACAAAGAGAGACCAGTACAACAGTCCATGTAGTCAAGGGTGCCAATGGTAGGAAACCCCAATTCCGCAGAGAAACCAGGCAATATAGAGGTCCATCACAGCGACCCAGAGGACAACCCCAACAAGGAAGATTTAACCCATGTCCAAGGACACGATGCACACGCTGCACAGGAATACAGACAGTGCACGACAAGCAATCAAATTATCCAAGGTGTAATGTCTTGTTTAGTGGCGACACTAGTGGCAAGGGCTCTTTAGGAAATAAAGGATAGTAAGATGGCAGTCCACATGGTCTTGAGTGATGAGTATAAAGATATAGTAATCTATATAGTAATCTATACGCTGGCTCTCCAACAAATCAGATGTATTGGCTGCAATGGACAGCACTGAGACGGCAATCCAGAGCCTAGACTTAGACAGAGCAGAAACAGCCCCTCAGCAATCCACTCTAGGCATTAACTGGAAGCTTAAGCTCGACACCTTCACATTTCAATGCAAGCTGAAAGATCCAATATTGACCAAGAGGGGAATGGTTAGCACAATGGCTTCCATATTTGACCCTTGTGGTTACATATCTCCATTCATTACCCTAGCCAAGATGATGCAACAAGAATTATGGATGAAGAAACATCCATGGGATGAACCATTACCAGCAGATATACTAGACAGATGGAAAGAATGGTTGTTAAGACCTCTAAACATGAGTTGAGAAGGCCTATTGCTACGATTTGTGTACTCGAGGAAAATTCCAAACCCTGAGTTGACGTGCTAGAAACCTTTCCAGATCCTGTGTTGCCCCCCGACTTTGATTCCTTCCCCGGCGAGTTAGGTTTATTTATATCTAGATCAATACAAAGGAGGATCCCTCAGTGGAGCTTAAAAAACATCACCCAAAAACCGTTTGATACCCATTTGGTAGCCCTACACCATGGCTACATTCATTACATACCTATCCACAAAATATGATTCTAACCGTTCGATCCACGTGTATTGTGTGTACCAGATATATATTTAATTTTTTGTAATCCAGCAGTCTCGGGATCCTCCTTTGTATTGATCTAGATATAAATAAGTCACATATTATGATAATAGCTATCATCTGATAGTCTTTCATAGTGTATTGTATCGTAGTGTAATGTGTTGAATGATAATTACTGCATTGTAATTGTATCATATAATATCTTGTTGTACTTAATTGTATTTGTCATAAATCACATTGGAGTGTAGTGCATTGAATTGTGTTCAGTAGGAATGGACTCTATTTTAACGGAGATTATTGACCACAATTTTTTTTAAAGTTAACATAATAGTTTCGAGGCACAAAACCTAACTCGCCGGGGAAGCCCTATCATGCACCTTATTACGTAGTCCTATACATGTGACCTTATGCATAATTAATGTTTGACAACAATACATGTTAAGAGAAAGTTACAATTAAGATTCGGAATACTAATGTTTGACAACAATACATGTTAAGAGAAAGTTACAATTAAGATTCAAAATATTTCCTTGTACAGAATATATAAAAGCTGGACTACCGAATGAATAAAGGGTCTTACCGAGGAGATCTCTTGTTGTTCTTGACTTTGAAACTTAAATAGAAAGATTAGTCCATTTACAACCAAGTTAGACAAGTTAAGTGCCCACATAGATACTGAACTTATGAACTTTAACTGTTGTGACTTAAAGGAGATTGAGGAGATTCAAATTATTAAGGACAGTATCTGTACCTTATGGAGCAAATATCAAGAAATTTTCACAGATCTTAGTGGTGTCCTGAAAAGGGACCCTACTGATTTTAGCAATGGAGAAAGAATGATAGCAGATAACAACTAAAAAACTATTTTCAAATAAACCTCCTGCCGATCAGGCATACCTTCTGGGTATGCCCGTGAAACTCG